CTGTCTCCCACATGAATGTAGAGATTGTCATCTGCGTTTTCTAGGCGACTTGCAGAAGCCTGTGAACTAGAGGACTTCCCACTGTGATTTCTCCTGAAGGGAGTGGAGATTACTGATGTCAATCACTGTAGTTGGATAGTGCTGAGGGAGTTCCAGAGTGGCAGGGGTTACAGGTAAAGTCTGCCGCAGGTGCTCAGCAGGGACACTTCCTTCCAGGGGACCCCAACTGGATGGGAGAAAGCCAGATCCCATACACCCAATTATCTGGTTCAGGGGTCAGCATACTGTGGCCCTTGGGCTAAATCTATTTAGTCAATATGTATCAAAGCTCTGGGCATTAGAATAGTACATGTACATGTACAGTCTTCCTAAGAATTTGGATTTTCTCTTTTCACAACAAATTTCAACTTTAGTTCATATCAGTGGATTTCCTTTGTAGCATTTCCCCCCCTCCAGTATAGCATTCAGGGTCAGGAATTGCATTTACCTGTTATGAACCTCAGGTTTTTGAGGTTTGATTCTGTTAAGGAAGAAAGCACTCGTTTCATAGTTCATCTCCTGGAAAACTGTAAGGAAAAGTCAACATTTTCTCTGGTCCATTAGTGCTTACACCTGGCAACCATCTACAAGAGCCTGGAGGAATTTTCCAGGAACAGGAGAGATGTCCGTGGAACGGGGTTTCTAGAAAGGCGGTTTCCTCTGGGTGCCTGCTCATCCTCTGAATGTGGCAGCAATGGCACACATTTGGAGACCATGAGAGTATTCAAATGACCCCCAGGGAGTCGGATTTCCAGTCAAACCTCTTTATTCTGGCTCAGTGAACCTGAGATATCTTTTTCCATGATGGACCCCAGCCCCAAAAAAGGAAATGTGTTAGACCCTTCCATCAGCCTGAGAATTTGGAAATGGGATGAACAGAACCCTAGAACCAAATGCACAGATTTGGAAGCTACAGATCTGGGGAGGGTCCAAGGTGGTACGTTGTTAAGAATTAGTTCATGACAAATTAATTATATCAATTAAAGCTACCATTTAAAGTATAATTAGTGATCTTTTTAAAATAAAGAGAAAGTTTATTTTTGTTAGCATAAATACACTAAAGATTAACTTGTACTAGATGCAATAAAGTTTGATTTGGTATGTGTGTAACATACATCTATGTAATCTTGTAGAAGTGTGTTTGTATAAAACATACCATCCAGGGTCCCCTGGGTGGCTCAGCTGTTAAGCATCTGCCTTCAGCTCAGGTCATGATCCCCAGGTCCTGGGATGGAGCCCAGGCTTCCTGCTCAGCGGGGAGCTTAGCTTGCTTCTCCCTCTCCCTCTCCCACTCTCCCTGCTTGTGCTCCCTCTATCTGTGTCTCTCTCTGTCAAATAAATGAATAAAATCTTAAAAAACAAAACATACCATTCATTTAGTTGTTATTCATTTTTTTTAAAATCAGTGATTTATTAAAGGTCTATTGCGTGCTAAGTGATAGATGAAAAAATGAATCACACATTCCTGGGTACACTGCAAGGGGCCGTTTTGCTGTATTAAAGAATTTGGATTTAACTTTCAGAGAGTATTATTCTCACTGGCCCTGGCCTGGGCCAAGAGAATGCAGGTTTGAAATTTTGAGCTCTTTGCGGGTGGTTAGTGCTCTTTTGGAAAACATGATGCCTGGCAACCATCTGCGCGGCAGGACTGAAAATACTGGTAAAGGGTTTAAGACTAACGATTCTTCCAGAACAACCAGCCTGACAATGAGTAATATGCAGTTTGATGTGAAAATTAGAAAACTGGCAGACGAAGCTGCAAGAGGGAAATTGGATTTCCAGAGAGACGAATGGGAGGCCATGCGGCTGAATAGAGTTCATAAGATGCAAACGCATGCAGGGGAGTTGCAATCCTCCCTCATTCCCAGCACACAGAGCAAGTCCCTATTATTTATTTATTTGCGGGTGAAAAGTGAGAGTTCCGTGGCCCTGGTGTTTATTATCAAAATGGATGGATTCAATATCGAGCAATGATGTGTTCAAAATGAAAGCCACATCATTAAATGTCATGGGCATTTATTAACACAGTTTCCTCCGTATTCAAATAAAACAGGCATTATCTCACCAGGTGCCACGTGACTCCAGCCTTCTCTGGACTGGCTTTGATGGAGGCTCAGATTCTGGGAGGCATTGTGGTCGAAAGCAAGTCAGGGAAGAGCAGAGATATCCAGGGGAATGTGATGAGGAATGAAAGATGCCTAGGTGGTGGCTTTAACAGGGAGGGTTCCGTCTTCCGAAAGCACAGCATGGCCTGTCAACTTATGGCTTGTGCTTTTCAGGGCCCCCATCATCTCTCCCAGCAGGTCTCCTGTTTGTCTCTCCTTTCTCCCTCACATTGTTTTCTCTTGCTGCGTATCCCTGATCAAGGAATGGCTTCCTTTCTTGTGAACTGTGACTTCTAACCAGGACACAAAAATTATCAGGGTAGGTGGCAACCTTCATCTCGGGATCTTTTGAACAGCTTCATGCCCAGAGCAAGTCCACGCTAAAAAGACTGTACAGATTTGAATAGCTGTGCTCCAACTGAAAGAAACCAACTTGGGAGAAATGACATAAATTCATTATTACTGAACTGAAACCTCTTGCTGCTCCAGGCAGAGAAGATAAATTACCACTCAAGTGATATAAAGTTATTTGAATGTTTCATTGGATCAAATGCATCACGATGTCTGGAAATCTCTTCTCTTTTAAGTTAGAATTAAAGAATGGTTATCAGACCAATAATAGACACTATCATTTGCATACATTTCATCTCAAGAGACTTCTGAAGTTATGTAATATTCAAGTGGATAATTGTTCTTCACACTCCTGACATATTAAGTCACAGCTCAGATTAAGGAAGACACATTGGTGACTGAGATGATTGGCAGGGCCCACAAGGAGGGCATCTGTAGGAACTGAAAGAGGGTATGGCTCCACGGGGGGCCTTTTAAGTGCTCCCATGAGGGAGGTGAACTTGGCAACAAGTATTCAAAGCAGGTTTTCTCTGTTTTATGATTCCAGATAACTGGGTATTTGATGATGACCAAAATGCCAGTATTTTTTTCTCTTTGATTGTCCCTTTTTGTCAAAGACTTCAATTCCTTGAAATAGCCTCTAAAGTTGCCATTAAAGTGGCCATTAATTCCATCCCCTGCCCCCTTCCCACAAATTCTTATTGAGCAGGTCTCTGGTCTGGAGTTGTGCTGTGAATGGAATTAATTTTCGGTGTTTGCTTAGAATGCATAACATCAGCAGGCTGATTTTTGCAAGTCCTTCCTGGTTTCTCCATAATCCCATGATACTTTCAAGGAAGAATAGACCCCGTTTTATTTACTCTGAGCCTCCAGCGCCTAGCACAGAGTCAGGCATGGAAATGATGTGCCTTTCTTGTTGAGTAAAGAAATGACTAGCCCATTTCCCACAGTGCCATTTTTGTTATGATTCCCAGTATTACCAGCACAACTGTAGGATACTCTGTAGATATATAGCTGCTGGGCTGACAGAAAACTAGCTTGGTTAGGCACTTTTAGCTTCAAATGATCACCATCTGTAAGGTGGGCTTCCTATAAGAATGGCATATGAGGGTTTGTGAAGTAGCAGGAGACATCATCTTTGTCGTGAGGTCACCTTTGTGGCAGTGTCACTCACCATTCTATGTGTAATCCTGCACTTTCAAGCCTGTTAGATTAGTGTCCCATGACCATGACATGACTCTGTGTGACTGTGAAAGTGACATGTGTCATTACTAAGCATAGGAATTTGAGACCCAGTATTCTATTCTATTCTATTCTATTCTATTTATTTATTTGACAGACAGAGATCACAAGCAGGCAGAGAGGCAAGCAGAGAGAGAGGCGGAAGCAGGTTCCCCATTGAGCAGAGAGCCTGATGCGGGGCTCGATCCCAGGACCCTGGGATCATGACCTGAGCTGAAGGCAGAGACCTTAACCCACTGAGCCACCCAGGCTCAGTGAACCACCCAGACCCAATATTCTTAAATCCAACATTTTCTGTCTCTTTCACGGGGACTTTAGAGACCTCAGATTTAGATTGTTCCATTCTAACATGCCAAAGACTTCATAAGCCTGGGCTCCCCGGTGAGTGTGGAGTAGTGTCCCCACTGATTGCATTGCAATTATAATGTGAAAGAAGAATAAAGTTTTGTTGTGTTAAGTCACTGAGATGGGGTAATTTGTTACTGCTGCATAGCAAATTCTGACAAACAGAACCTCAGCAGTATTTCCCCTTACATCTTACTGGCCAAACCTAAGTTACACAGTCTTTCACAGCGGCAAGGAAGGCTGAGAAAAATGGGAAGAGGATTGTTAATTTGGCTTAAATGAATCATAGCCTACCCCCTTGGGCTATGTCACCCCAGAAAAACTTGGGGTTTGGTTACAAGGAGGAAGTGAGGATGACATTGGGTAGGAACTCTCAGTGTCTGCCAAATCACCAGACACTGTTTAGGATACACAGAGAAGATGCAAAAGCCGAAGAGGAAGAGGTGGATATCCAGGTAATTCTGTAATTCCGTGCCTCAGATGGTGTCCCAGAAATGTCTGATCCCAAGTGGCTCCTTCTCCTGTGAGCTGTCAAGATGCCTGGTTAAGTGACTGTTAAACTGCCTTTGCCTCCTACCCTCTGTCTCCCACCACCCAAAAGGCTGCCCTTGAGGTAGGGAGGGAAGTGATCCCCACTATCCCTTTGCCAAATCTCTCAGAGAGGTTATGAAGCTGAACAGATTTGTGTTTGAAAAGGGCTTTGAAGCTCTGGCGTGAAAGGTACCACAGAAGTGCAAATGCCTGCAATTCTTTGCCTGCTGAATGGAACAGGAACTGAATTGCTTTAAACTGGAATTTCAGGGCCTGTGGCTCGTGTCTGGGATTCACACAATGGTTTTTTAAAAACGCTTTCTTTTGTATAGACTGTTATTTTTTCTCTCAGTTCTTCCCCCAAGTTAACTCTCAATCCCTACTCACCCATCTCCTTAAGCAAGGCCTCAGCCTGGAGGAGGCAAATTACAAATCGCTCATTTCGGCTTGGAGAAGGTTTATCACTCCTTTCCCTGACCTTCTTTAGTGTTCACTCCTTTAGCCACTCAGCGTCCTCCTCAGGCTCTTCATCTGGGGAGAGAGGGGAGATGTAACCTCTATCAGCCAGACCCTAGGATTGGCCCTGTGGTGGGGGTGGGGTGGATTCTGAGGAGGATGGTCTGACTACAAACTAGCCGGAGGGTTGTTAAAGGCCTGCAATCACAGGCCCAGCCCCGACCTCCTGCTGTGGGATCTTCTGGGCGAGTTTCATGGGTCTGCATTTTTCTAAGCACAAGAGGGTTTGTGAGAGAGGAAGCTCAAGAAATTCCTTATATGATGAATGAATTGTGCAATACTCACATTGCACTAGGTCCTGTGCTAAGTATCTTCCCTATAACTTTTAATTTAATCTTCCCCAAAGACTTAGATATGGCTATAATTCTCAGCATTCCTCATTTTCCAGAGAAGAAACTTGGCCAAGGAACTTAGCTAGGATCGGGACTCAGGTTCTACACAGCCACCTTAGCATGATTGACTTGTCTGTTTCCTCTCCCTGAGGATTAACATTTTTAAAAGGATTTCAGGGCAAGAACACAGTGGAATGGATCTCCAGTGGCGAAGTTTCTGGCAGTAGAACTGGAGGGAGGCTATTACCCAACGCTGTGGTGTCAGGAAGAGTTAAATCTTTTTGACAGTTCAATGGCCCCCTTTGGGTTTGCCCAAATGGCACCTGTTGTTGAAGTCAATAGAGCTTACAATTTAATTTCATCTGCCTGCAAACAATCTCTCTCATTAGGGGGTGGAGTGATGATGGGATTCTCCCAGCCATGCAGTTTCACTTTCTGTGGGGGTAATGCGTAAGTACAGTCACTGTTTTCTGCAGAGTGAGGGAGAGTCCCCTCCACTTCCAGACGGCTCATAATGAGAAAGCAAGTCTCTGGGTAAAGAGAGGCTGGGGGAGGCAATGAGTGTGAGTGAGGAAGGGTGAGAAGGGGTCAAGCCTGCACACAGGGCTCCTAAGAGTGCTTGCCTTTCCCTCTGTGAGTTGTCACCTGTCCACTTGCAGGCTAGTCATTATGTTCAATAGAATTTGAATGCTTCCATTACCCAAATGACAAGGAAGTGGCTTTTCTATCAGAGATGAACCCACAGGATGGACATAAGCATCTCTCTGTTTTCAACTCTGAGCTAATAGGATCCTTTGGTTCAGTAATAAAGGGGATGGTGGTAAAACATTACCAACAGCAAGGATAGTACGAGATACCATTTGCTTAGATCTCTTTATTTATGTCTCAGAACAACTCTGTGAGCTAGGGATCTCGTGCCCATTTTATAGAGGAGGAAACTGAGACTGAGCAGGAAGAGACCTTATGTCATACAGTCAGTAAAGACAAAAGCAGGACTTCAAATATGTACCTTTTCTACCAGCCTCATCACCTATCCTTCAACTGTGTTTCAGTAAAGACACAAAGATTGTGTGTCCCAGTTACTCTCCAGGGATCAGAATTATACCCATGACATTGCGCATTGTGTTGGGAAAGTTGAGGGCATTTAAGAACCCTCTCCTTCCCCTCTCCCCCGGGAATTCCTTGGGGGAAACTGGTGGGAAGGGATACTGTTGGAAATTTCATTTTCTTTTATGAGTTATCAGTGACAGAGAGTACGTGTGTGTTTGCATGTTCTGGCAATACTGGTGTCTGATGTGTGACCTGTTTTTTATTAAAGTTATAGCTTTTGCGGGGAGTCGGAGTTATTACTGGTGCTTTGGGAGAGAAGTCAAAGCTGGACTCACTCTGGCATGTGGAAGGTAATTTCAAGTTCTTTGCCCTAGAGATATATATGCTAATAGGAAAAATGCTTTTTTTTTCTCTTCAGGCCAAGTTCAGAAAGATTATACTAGCTCTGTGGATTGCAAATAAAAGAAGACATGACCTGGGAGGTAGACTAGGAAGGGAAGAAAAAAGGAAGAAAAGCTAAAGTCCCTAAAGAAGGCTGACAAAGGGAGGATGGTAGTGTCCCTCCTTAGAGCTCTGGGGAGTTGTGGTGTGGGGCAAACCAAATGAGTGAATGTTCATTATTGGATGAATGAATTGTGGCACTGAATTCAACAGGTTAGTAGAGCAAGGAAAAAATTCAAGTCATACATAGGAGTTCTTTTTCTCTAACTTCATGTTGAACAAGAACTTTCTTTCTTTTTTAAAAGATTTTATTTATTTGACACAGAGAGAGCCCAAGCAAAGGGAGTGGCAGGCAGAGGGAGAGGGGGAAGCAGGCTCCCCACAGAGCAGGGGAAGCCAGATGCAGGACTCCATCACAGGACACTGGGATCAAGACCTAAGCCAAAGGCAGACACTTAAAGACTGAGCCACCCAGGGGCTCGGAACAAGAAGTTTCTGATGGTATGACAAGATAAACCTATTTCCAGATCATGCTGTGCAGAGGATAATCGTCATAATCAATGCCATCCTACATCTTTTGGACTTCCCCTTCTTACATTTTGGTGATTTTTCTCATTAAGATTTGCTCCTTCCAACAGTAGAGATCATGAGAGAACAAAAGGCTGGCTGAAGACAAAGCAAAAGCTGACACCCTGCAACCTTCCCCCACTGCACTCCTGGGTGGGACACAGGTGACATTCTTTAGGAATCTCCCAAGTATCTTAATGTTAATACCTTGCTGAAGGGAAAAACCTTGACAATGACAAGGCCTCAAGGCATCTGGTATCTTATAGGTCCTCTTTAGCATATGAAAGTTCTATTGAAACCTCCCTTTTTCCTTACCTCCCCCAACCCCATCATACCTGCCACCCCTCACATGCCAGGGGCAGCAGCTCTTTCTGCCACGAGTCCTGTCCCCCTGCTTTAATAAGCCACTATTTTGTCCAAAAGATGTCTCAAGGGGAGGAGTCAAGATGGCGGAGAAGTAGCAGGCTGAGACTACTTCAGGTAGCAGAAGATCAGCTAGATAGCTTAACTAAAGATTGCAAACACCTACAAATCCAACGGGAGGGAGATCGAAGAGAAGAGAACAGCAATTCTGGAAACAGGAAATCAACCTCTTTCTGAAAGGTAGGACGGGCGGAGAAGTGAATCCAAAGCGACGGGAAGATAGACTGCGGGGGGAGGGGCCGGCTCCTGGCAAGTGGCGAAGCAACAGAGCACAAAATCAGGACATTTAAAAGTCTGTTCCGCTTAGAGACATTGCTCCAGAGGCTAAGACAGGGTGAAGCCCAAGTGGGGTCAGCGTGGCCTCAGGTCCCGCAGGGTCACAGAAGGATCGGGGGTGTCTGGGTGTCGCAGAGCTTGCAGGTATTAGAACGGGGAAGCCGGCTACAGAGACAGAGCCGAGGAGTGAGCTCTCAGCCTGGTGTTACCTTGAACCAGTCGCAGGCTCGGTGAGCTCAGAGCGTGGCCAGAGGCCAGGGAGACGGGAGGAAATGGGCGCTGTTCTCTGAGGGTGCACTGAGGAGTGGGGCCCTGGGCTCTTGGCTCCTCCGGGACGGAGACTGGGAGGCCGCCATCTTCATTCTCGTCCTCCGGAACTCTATGGAAAGTGCTCAGGGAACAAAAGCTCCTGAAAGCAAACGTGATCAGATTACTCAGCCTGGCCCCTGGTAAGGGCGGTGCAACTCCGCCTGGGGCAAAGACACTTGAGAATCACTACAACAGGCCCCTCCCCCAGAAGATCAACAAGAAATCCAGCCAGGACCAAGTTCACCTACCAAGGAGTACAGTTTCAATACCAAGGAGAGCAGCACAATTCCAGAGGAGGAGAAAG